GCCTGGTTTATTATGCATGAACCAAGCAATTTGCCTGCTGCTCCCGGGGACCCATCTTTAAAACAAAAAAGGTGCTTTGTCATTCTTAATGGCTTTTGCGGAGCGAGGAGCTGGGTGGATGGAAGCACGGATAGACACAGGGATAGACGGATGGATGGGCATGGAGGAGAGGAGAAACATTAAGTTTCTTCTCCGCCCGTAACCCTGCTAACTCGAACAGCGAACGAACCAAGCTGGGCAGCTTCAAAGAGATCGGCTCAGCTCCGAAATCCAAGCCCCGGAGGTGTCTCTACCTCGCTGAAGAATTCCTTTCCCCAGGAAACAAATTTCCCCTCCTCGCCATCCGGCTAATTTATTCCTGAGATGTATTCTAATTTATTCCCCAGGACGGCGGGCAGGCTCACCGCCTCCTTGCAGCGCCACAGAAATCTCTCACTGCCGCCTTCCTACCCACCCTCAGGTCCCAGGATTTTCTCCAAAATCCACCCTGTGCCAGCAAAACTGCCAGGCAAGCAGAGAAACACAACCCCACCGCCCGAGCTTATTTACCTGGGGGTACGGACAGCCACGATTTAACTCCGAGTCACCCTGACAGCTGCGGCAGGGTAAAAAGAGAAAAAAAAAATTAAATTAAGATTCCCTCAAGAAAACTGTAATTTGTCTCTCAGAGCCCAGCGCCTGATAATAACACGCTATAGCCAAACAGAGATATGATTCCCGTCCCTTCCCTCACCGCCGGCTGTCACGCTGGAATTTAATCTTTCAGCCCTCTGCTACCCAGGCTGGTGATAAAATATAATTTGATTTCGTTCCCAATAAATCACGAGCTCTTGGAGAGGAAGAAAAAAGACAGAGGGAGGGTTGAGATTCCCTGAATTTGCCTGTGTGGCAGAAGGCTGGAACAGCAGGAGTTAAGGCCAGCACCCCAGCTTGCTGCTTGGCATCAGCAGCCGCCCCTGAAGCACCAAGCAAGTGGAGGTTACAGGCCAGAGACAGGCAGGTGCTGCCCACGGGCCTGCAGGGACTCTCGCAGGGCCAGGTCCACCCTGCTCAGCACCAGGAGCAAACCACGAGGGCGGTGAGCAGGGGACAGCGTGACCTGTGGGACCTACCCTGGGGGGGACGGCTACTTCCGAGTGCAGTGGAGAGGGGATACAAGGGGGGAAAGCTCCCCGTGGTGCCAGGCCTCGGCCCTCAGGCCTCGGCCCTCACAGGCCTCAGGACCAGGCCTCAGGCCTCAGGCCCAGGCCTCGGCCCTCACAGGCCTCGGCGCTCACAGGCTTCCGCCCTCACAGGCTTCAGCCCTCTGTCTTGATCCTTCAGGACAACCGCCCTGGCTCTCCCGAGCTGCCCCGGGACCTTTAGCCCAGGGACCTTTAGCTCCA